TCATCACGATCATCACTGTCATTCTCGTGTTCTGCATGCAGGCATATGCTCTTTTCAATCCATTAAATAAAAGGATAAAAGCTGGCAAAATCTGTCCAGAAACCTGATTTAAAACCTGGTATCTGTTCCATATCAATAAGAGCACAGAGTCCAAGAACACACATCTTTCTTGTCATGAAGCCTTAAAAAAAAAAAAAAAAAAAAAAGAAAGAAATTCTGGTGTTTCTTTTCTTAAATAAGCAGAGTTCCTCGCAAAGCAAATGTAGTAAAATTGCAATATGTGTCACTTACCCCAAGAAACAGTCAACATCATTAAGCCACTGTGTAATAAAATGATTTGTAACTGGTTCAACATTATTAGGGAAACGAAGATTTTCTAAGGTATTGAGTAGTAGGTGTGGATTATAATACAAAGCTGCAATTGCAACTTGCAGACACATAGTTCGAAGTTCACTTGTCTTAACCTCTCTTGTCAGTCTTTCTAAGGCTGCTTCCACGAATAAGGGAATGCACTACAAAAAAAGATAGCAAGATATTCTAAGACTATAATTAATAGCATGCAAACTATTCTAAAAATATTAACTTCTTTGTTGCCTCAATTAACCCTATTATAGCATTACATGACCAATATTTATTGCTGAGGCACTGTACTGAGAAATCTAATTTTAGAGAAAGCCTAGTAGTCTTCATGGAGCTATTAAAAGCTCACGACGGGCCGAGCGCCTGTAATCCCACTACTTTGGGAGGCTAAGGCGGGCGGATCACAAGGTCAGGAGATGGAGACCATCCTGGCTAATATGGTGAAACCCCATCTCTACTGAAAATACAAAAAATTAGTTGGGCGCGGTGGTCGCTGACTGTAGTCCCGGCTACTTGGGAGGCTGAGGAAGGAGAATGCGTGAACCTGGGGAGTGGAGTTTGCAGTGAGCCAAGATCATGCCACTGCACTCCAGCCTGGGCGACAGAGAGAGAATCCATCTCAAAAAATATATATAAAATAAATAAATAAATTTTAAAAAGCTCACGACAATATCAATCATGCCTTCACAATGTTCCTATTAAAACTGACCATGGGCCGCGTGATGTGGCTCACGCCTGTAATCCCAGCACTTTGGGAGTCTGGGGCAGGCAGAACACTTGAGGTCAGGAGTTTGAGACTAGCCTGGTCAAAATGGCGAAACTCCATCTCTACTAAAAATATAAAAAATTAGCCAGGCATGGTGGCAGGCGCCTGTAATCCCAGCTACTCTGAAGGCTGAGGCAGAGAACTGCTTGAACCCGGAGGCAGAGGTTGCAGTGAGCTGAGATTGCGCCACTGCACTCCAGCCTGGGCGACACAGCGAGAGGTCTCAAAAAAAAAAAAAAAACTGACCATGGAAATTTAATTACTAAAGCTATCCAAAAAATCTTAAGCCAAAATTTATCTTTCATGATAACAAAGTAGCCATAAAACTTAGTCCAATTCCTATGTATTAAACATATGATCATTGTTATATATTAAATTTTAAACTAAAAATATTGTCTAGATGTCTCAATAAACAAAAACATACAGAATATGCAACAAACGCCAAAAAATGAAGAAAGTGAAAGGAAAAGATTACCCCTCTGAACTACAAATCATTATTAGCCTCACTGACCTGGTCAATGCCACGCCCTTTGCACTGCAGAATGATGACCTCTAACAATTTTGCTGCATGACACTCTGCATCTTCTCCTGCAACTCCTGTAAGAACCTGATCAACACAGAATATAAACTGCAGTAAGGCTTTATCCTTTAAATCAGATATCTAAATCAAGGAAACAATTTCCTACCCTGTGTACAGGCTCTGAGTATTACCTGAAGTATCCTAATTAATACGAATAACTGCAATGTTCATTGCACAGATGAAAGTCTAAAGGATCTGGATAGCTGTGAGGATCTGGAGCTGTCTGCCTCCTATCTTTCATAGTCTAGCCCTCTGGCCCTTTGTTTTTGTGATCAAAGTACCTATCCTGTAGTGCCATTCCTGATTACAGCAAGTTGACAACCACTAACTTCTTATACACAGGTGGTAGCTAAAACACCTAACCTTTCTCCTGTAAAGAATTACTTTCTAGGAGTAGTTTCTAGGAAACTCTTTTCTCTTTGAAAAAGAAAACAACAATAACAATAACAAAAAAAAAAACAGTAGGGGAGGAAGGAATGGAGGGAGGAAGAGGCAGCCTTTTGAGGGCAAATGTGGCCCTACGAACTCCAGATAAGAAACAAACATGGACTTAAAAGCTAGTGAAAACTAGATGACTATAAATATTATGAATAAGTGTTCAGGAATAGAAATGTAGATAGTATAGGTATATCTCTATTCCCAGAATATTAATATTAATAATATAATTGGCAGTAAACAATGACTAACATAACTAGATGATTATGTGTGACTTAGGTGTTCAGAAGGGAAAGAGATGAGTGAAAGAAATCTAGAAACTTCATGGAGCAAATCATTTTCTAACGACCTACAACAGACATTGCTAGAAATTAAAATACTACCAATTACACTGACTTTGATGCTGATGGACTGCAGTTTATTTGTTTCCCCAACCAGACTGAAGGGGGACATTCATTCCCTATTGCTTGTTGTAAACCTACAGCTGCTAACCTTTTCCTTTATAAAACATCTCTATCCATTCCTAATCCTTTCAAAAATCTCTCAAATTCTTGACTCTTTCCTTCTTTTGATTCCATAAGACCATGTTAGTTAAACTCCGGGCACTCTAAAATTCAAAAACAAATTCCAAGTGTCAGAGGGCACACAAAAGACATATATTTATTAAAGCTGTGGCATCTAGGGACCAATGACTTTTAACTTTTAAAGCCCTTAATTCTGTCAGATCTATGTTTACATGTTTATTACTATAATGTGGTATCACATGAGTCCTCACAATTTCATACATTTTATAGCAGAAGCCTCACGAAATCTGATATATAAAAATGACCTACCTTTTTGCACATACTGTATATCATTTCAAGATACTTGGTGTCAGACAGAAGTGTGTCTGTATCAACTGTTACATAATTATGAAGGAGGGGCATCATATCTGTATTAATGAAAAACATCAGTTATACATCTTTAGTAACACAAATGCTTTATCTTTGTTTTTGAAAAATTTCCTTAGAAAAAGGCAAATCTATGAGATCATTTTGTCTCTAACATTCACCTTTTTTTGGGGGGAGGGGTGGACACTCTCACTCTGTTGCCCAGGATAGAGTGCAGTGGTGTGATTAAAACTCACTGTAACCCCAAACCCTGGACTCAGGTGATCCTCCCACCTTAGCCTCCCAGGTAGCTAGGACTACAGGCACACTCCATCTCGCCTGATTAATTTAAAAGCGTTTTTAGAGATAGGGTCTAATAGCCCAGGCTGGTTAAGAACTTCTGGAATGAAGTGCTTTCCTGCCTTCCCAAAGTGCTGGGATTACAGGCGTGATCCACTAAGCCTGGGCTTAACATTCAGTTTTAATTAAAATGTATTCATTTATACTTAAATGCAGAAATGATCCTATTATGAAAGTGATTTTCTTTGTACTTAGTTAAACATAAAAATTATAGACACATTTTTACATTTATATGGAGAAGATTATGAGGGGGTATGTGGATATGTATGTGTATTAACAAAGAATAAACCTATAATAACTAAATTATATAGCAGAAATCAATACCATGCGTCACCACTGAGCATTAACTTCTATTGATAACTCTTCCGAACAGTGAAGCAGTCTGAACACTCAAAAGTGTACGTTCAGGCTAGGCACAGTGGCTCAAGCCTTTAATCCCAGCACTTTGGGAGGCTGAGGCAGGAGGATCACTTCAGGTCGGGAGTTTGAGATCAGCCTGACCAATATGGAGAAACTCTGTCTCTACTAAAAATACAAAATTAGCCGGGCATGGTGGTACATGCCTGTAATCCCAGCTACTTGGAGGCTGAGGCAGGAGAATCACTTGAACCCAGGAGGCATAGGTTGCAGTGAGCCGAGATTGCGCCATTGCACTCCAGCCTTGGCAACAAGAGCGAAACACCGTCTCAAAAAAAAAAAAAAAAAAGTGTACGTTCAAATGATAAGCTACAAATAAATCAAAGCAGGGAAACCCCTCAGTATTTCCATGCTGATTTGACTCACCTGTAAAGTAATCAAAGCCATCTTGCTGAAAGACTTCAAATACAAGGGGTAGTAGCTGCCACATCTGTGGAGACACTTGTTGACATGTCAAACTGTGCGCTAAAGAGAAGATCTCCTCATAGAATTCTAAAAGAGAATACTAAGTCATTAGGCAAATGCTTGCTCATGTGAAACAGCACTAAATTCTTAGCACAATCAGAGGTATAATACCTAAGACATGCTGTTGTAAAACAGTACCAATGACCTGCAAGCAGATTCCCTCAAGCTGTTGGGTTATCTAAAAGAGAAGAAAAAAAAAATCATATGCAGTTACAGCCCACTAAATGGCTTAGTAAGATAACGTATACTATAATTCAGTACACTTAAATGTAAAGTCAATATTGTGAAAAAATTAAGTCTTTTTTTTTTTTGAGACAGAGTTTCGCTCTGTCACCCAGGCTGGAGTGCAGTGGCCGGATCTCAGCTCACTGCAAGCTCCGCCTCCCGGGTTTACGCCATTCTCCTGCCTCAGCCTCCCAAGTAGCTGGGACTACAGGCGCCTGCCACCTCGCCCGGCTAAGTTTTTGTATTTTTAGTAGAGACGGGGTTTCACTGTGTTAGCCAGGATGGTCTCGATCTCCTGACCTCGTGATCCGCCTGTCTCGGCCTCCCAAAGTGCTGGGATTACAGGCTTGAGCCACCGCGCCCAGCCCAAGTCTTTGTTTTAAAATGACTTACACATTATGAAATTGTGATCTCAGATAAAAATGGAATGAAATACCATTACATTGAGAAAAACACAAGGAATGGCCACCTTAAATTTACCTAAAAAGGAAAAAACAACATTCTCGAAAAATGCAAACAACTATGAAAATAAAGGAGTTGGTCGGGTGCGGTGGCTTAAGCCTGTAATCCCAGCAGTTTGGAAAGCCAAGGCAGGTGAATCACCTGAGGTCAGGAGTTTGTGACCAGCCTGGCCAGCATGGTGAAACCCCATCTCTACTAAAAATACAAAAAATTAGCCAGGCATGGTGGTGGGTGCCTATAATCCCAGCTACTTGGGAGGCTTAGGTAGGAGAATCTCTTGAACCCGGGAGGCAGAGGTTGTAGTGAGTCGAGTGCCATTGCACTCCAGCCTGGGCAACAAGAGCAAAACTCCATCTCAAAAAAAAAAAAAAAAAAAAAAAAAAAAGGAAGGAGTTACCACCATTCTGAAGATAGCACATCGGTTATGTGCACATAGAGATTAATCAAGCTCAATGTATGAAAAGTCACTGTCAATGACTTACAGAGAAATTATCTGAAGGCAGGCATTATTGCTATGAATCTCAATAATCCTTAAGTCACCTTAGTTTTTCAAAGTGTATTAGATATAGTGAACCCCCAACTCAAGACTGACAGAAAATACAAATTCCTCTATAATTGTCAATATAGTCCTAAATTAGACCCCAAATCCCCGAGGGCCATAAGAATGTTAAGGGGAGGAAGGGTAAAATAATACCCACTAATCAGATATAAAAGCAAGACATCCATTTCAGATACACAGAACTTAATATATTTACAACTCCTTAAATAGAATTAACAATTCATCTGTTAAAACATAAAGCACATATAGAATTGGTCATGGCTTCTGCTTATATCCAATTATAATGCAGAATACAAAAACAGTTTACGTGGCTGGTGTGGTGGCTCATGCCTGTAATCTCTGCACTTTGGGAGGCCAAGAGAGGTGGATCACTTGAGGCCGCGAGTTCCAGACCTGCCTGCCAAAATGGTAAAACCCTGTCTCTACTAAAAATAGAAAAATTAGCTGGGCGTGGTGGTGCATGCCTGTAGTCCCAGTTACTCGGGAGGCTGAGGCAGGAGAATCACTTGAACCTGGGAGGCAGAGATTGCAGTGAGCCAAGATGGTGCCACTGTACTCCTACCTAAGCAACAAAGGGAGACTCCGTCTCAAAAAAACAAGCTTAGTGAAAAACCTCATGCTGTAAAAGGCAACGTGCAGATAATCTGAAAACATGTTATTTATGGATAAAAGATATATTACATTACAAGCATCTGCACTGCAATTATAAACACCAAATTCATGACTGTTACTTCTATAGGAAGAAAGGAAGCAGGGAAAAGGGGTTAGGAAGTGGTCCCCTGAGGGCTTTCAACTGCATCAATCTGAAATTGTTTTTCTCTTCTCTTTTCTCCTTCCTTTCCCTTTCTCTTCCTTTGTTTCTTTTCTGACGTAGTGTCTCGCTCTGTTGCCCAGGCTGGAGTGCAGTGGCGTGATCTTGGCTCGCTGTAGCCTCTGCCTCTCAGGTTCAAGTGATTCTCCTGCCTCAGCCTGCCAAGTAGTTGGGATTACAGGTGCCTGCCACCACGCCCAGCTAATTTTTTGTATTTTTAGTAGAGACAAGGGTTTCACCATGTTGGCTAGGCTGGTCTCAAACTCCTGACCTCAGGTGATCTGCCCACCTCGGCCTCTCAAAGTGCTGGGATTACAGGCATGAGCCACTGCGCCCGGCCGCCCAATAATGGATTTTTTAAAAAATGGAATTATTTAAAACATACAGAAAAGAGTAAATAAGAAGAAAACTATAACCAAAACTTCTTAATCACCTAAACTTTATTTTATTACATTTTTAACACTTAAAATATTTCCTTTATGTTAAGAAAAACAATTTCAGGGCCAGGTGCAGCGACCATTGCAATCCAGCCTGGGCAACAGAGCAAGACTCTGTCTCCAAAAAAAAAAAAAAATCCATTATTACAATTCTTACTTTTCCAAAAGACAACTGGAAAAGAAGAAGACTAGGAAGACGGTAGTAATGGTTGCATAACAACATGAATATACTTAAAAATGGTTAGGATTGTAAATTTTATGCTATGCATATGTCACCAAAATTTTTCAAAGAAAAAGAAAACTAAGAAAAATATTTTTTTTTCCTGGGAACCACCATATTTCCGGATCTGAGAAACCATGAGGAGCCAAAATCCTGAGCCCTAAGATGGCAAAACAAATACTTGCTTCCTATTCCTTCTACTAATACTTTAGAACTTAAAATATAATGTACCAATCTTATCTTTAAAAGGGAAAATGGCAAAAACACGGTACATGAGATGCCAGAGAGATATCAGAGCCCTCTAAAAAGCATAAAATGGCTTGAAAAACTGCAACACTGGATCATCTTCTTACCTCTTTATGATCTTCAACTACACTAAGAAGTGTATCAATTGTATTCAGAATTCCCATAGCAGTAACTGCTTTGTCATCACTACCTTCTTCATCTGGCCCCGTCTGGATTACTTGGTTAAATGTCATTGCCTAGATTCAAGAGAATATAACTCAAGTTTGTCACTGAGGCATTATAAACATGTTTTTGTCTAAGACTTTTAATTATTAGAACGTTCTCATTGGGATAACACAACAAATCAATGTCTCCAAATTGATTAATGATCATAAAGAGCTTAAGCTCTATAATCAAATAGTCTACTTATTGGTTGACCTTAAACAAGCTACTTGACTTCTCTTGACCTTTTCTGCATGCCACTTTGGGGATTTCATAGACACCGTATGAGGACTAAATGAGGCAAGGTATAAAAGGTACTTAATATTATGAATAGTTGTCATTAATATTACTGGTTACGACTTGACAATGTCCAAATAAAAGCATATTTAATCATCAAGGGGGTCACTGATTTATCTTCTGTAAAATTCAATCGATTATTTTGAGCATTCCAGGCCACTACACAGATAGTCATGCTGCAGCCTGAGGTAGTAGTTAAAAACAAGTACTGTGAAGGCCCATCTATAAATCCAAACACCACCCTGCCTAGCTTAGACAATTAACCATTTTATACCTCACATTTTCTCTGTAAAACAGGAATAATTCTGAAACACAATTGTGTTAGAATTAAATAACTTAAGTGTCTCTCAAGGGCTTTATGTGCTACACAGTAATGTTGGTGAAGTATCTGCTATAAAGCAAGGGTCCCCAATCTCCAGGCTGTGGAGTGGTACCAGTCCATGGCCTGTTAGGACCAGTAGATAAGTGGTGGGTGACTGAGCATTATTCCCGGAAATTCTCATAGGAGTGCAAACCCTACTGTGAAATGTGCATTCAAGGATCTAGGTTGCACACTCCTTATGAGAAACCATTGCCTGCCTGATAAGAGGTGGAACAGTTTCATCCCAAAGCCATCTCCCCCAGACCATCTGTGGAAAAATTATCTTCCACGAAACCAATCCCAAGTGCCAAGAATGTTGGCTGCTATAAGGTAAAGCAAGTCACTTGTGACATAACCTGGAACATACTGAGAGCTACATTAAAATGCTTGCAAAAATGATAGGTTCAAACAACATACCAAATGTTGTGTCATTTCTACTGCAATAGGAGTAACTTCTTCACTATATTCACAGATCATTTTCTGAATTACATTGGTAAGGTCATCATTTTCTGTTTCTCTTATAATATGAAGAAGAGCCTGCATTACAGGTCTGATGAATGGCGTGATATATTCTTTAGCTGTAAGAGAAAGAGTAAAAAACTTGCATAAAACACCTAAAACTTAGGCCGGGCGCGGTGGCTCAAGCCTGTAATCCCAGCACTTTGGGAGGCCGAGACGGGCGGATCACGAGGTCAGGAGATCAAGACCATCCTGGCTAACGTGGTGAAACCCGTCTCTACTAAAAAATACAAAAAACTAGCCGGGCGAGGTGGCGGGCACCTGTAGTCCCAGCTACTCGGGAGGCTGAGGCAGGAGAATGGCATAAACCCAGGAGGCGGAGCTTGCAGTGAGCTGAGATCCGGCCACTGCACTCTAGCCTGGGCGACAGAGCGAGACTCCGTCTCAAACAAACAAAAAAACACCTAAAACTTCTTAAAACCTGGTATAACAAATATCAATGAGTTTTTTTAAAAAGTACTTTCTCATAAAAAGCAAGTATGCCAAGTTTCTAGGATTATGGCTTTTTACAATTACTACATATATAGTTATATACATATAGTAACGATATATAAAACATATATAACTATATATTATATGTAACTATATATATATTTTGTGTGTGTGTGTGTGTGTGTATATATTTTTTTTTTAATAAGAGGCAGGGTTTTGCTCTGTTGCCCAGGCTGGAGGACAGTGGCAATCACAGCACACTGCAGCCTCAAACTGCTGGGCTTGAGTGATCCTGCTGCCTCAGATTCCCAAGTAGCTGGCACTACAGGTACATGCCACTATGTTCAGTTAATTTTTTTTAAATTTTTTTGTAGAGATGTTACCCAGGCTGGTCTTGAACACCTGGCTTCAAGTGCTCTTCCCACCTAAGCCTACCAAAGTGCTAAGATTACAGGTGTGACCCACCGCACCTGGCCAACATTCACTTTTCTTGACATACACAAATCCTTTACCTTTTTCTTGATTGCTGATCAATACTTGAAGAGCAATGGCAGCTTCCACTTTCACAGGCATTTCTCTATCATCAATCAGACATCTTCTTGTTAGCTCTAAGGCCGTTTGAAGGTTCTGATCACTTTTGAACTTCACTTCACAAAAATAGTGAAGTACCCAGCAAGCCTTTTGTAAAAACACAGTGAGTTAGTGTAGATGCCTTACCTTAAATTCCCCCAAGCTAATCTCTATTCCCTGAGTTCTGTGTGTGGGAATTTGGAGGCTGGCCAGTGGTAGATGTGTCCAGAGACAACACTAGACCAGTACTATGATCCCAAGTTACTCTTTGGCTGCATGACGTTTGTGTGGATAGCAAGATCTGAATGCAAAACACAGACAGACACTGCTACCAGACACAGATGAAACCTATGCACACATTACAGCAGCCATGTAAAGATTTACATTAAACAGAAACCTAAAATAAAACACAGCCTTCAAAGTGAACATTTCAAAGTTTCAATATAAAAGTCCACAGAATCATTCATTACAAGACAAAAGTATATAAATAATGCAGCTTTAAAACATACCCTTGCTCTCATGTAGCCTAGTTCACTGCTGAAGAGAGGGAATACATGATTCTGCAACATGTATTCCATCTGATCTTTATAGATCTTTTTCTGTAAATATAAACAACAGTTATTTTGATACAGTTCCAAATATAATCATCTCAATTTCCAAACAGATATAACACTGTTAAAAATGACTATTAATGTTACATATATTTATGCTCATTCTTTGAACTCCAGAATCCACAACCAATTTTCTTATTCCAGAACTTCACCACCAAAAACCACTAAACACATTTTTACATGCTTTTATATTCCTTGATTAGAAAGCCATTATGCCAAATCTTACCAGCAATAGTGTTTGAGTGTTGTAAGTTTGGTTAATTTTATTTGTTACTATGAAACTTTTATAATTAAAAAACTTCTCTGATAAAGTTTCTGGTTGAAAATAACATAACCTGAGAAAAATCCTGCTTTCAAACTAATAAACTGGCTATCTAAAAAGGCAGACTTTTTTTTTTTTTTTGAGACGGAGTCTCACTCTGTCGCCCAGGCTGGAGTCCAGTGGCACAATTTTGGTTCACTGCAACCTCCACCTCCCGGGTTCAAGTGATTCTCCAAAAAGGCACTCTCAATATTCAAGGTGAGTATTTTCTAAGTGCAAAGAAGCTTTTTACAAGAGTTCCTTAAACTGCACATTAAATCAACATTAAAAATGTAAGACACTTATATCTCGACACTTACATAATCAAACATGACAACTTAATGCAATGTGAGACCCTGGACTGGGTCATGGAACAGAAAAACGGACACAGTGGGAAATCTTGTGAAATTTTAAAAAGGTCCATAGATTAGTTGATAGTATCAACTCAAAATCAACTTCATGTTTTTGATAACTGTGCCTCTACCTATGTAAGGTATTACCCCTAAGTGAAGCTGAGTGAAAGGTAAGAATAAACTTGAACGTGCCAAGAGAACTCACTTAATTCTCAGCCTTCTATACCATAAATGATTAGAATGTCTTTAATATATACTTTATAAACAAAGAGAAGGATGGGTGAACATGTATAGAAAAGATGAAAGACGGCCAGGTGCAGTGGCTCACGCCTGTAATCCCAGCATTTTGAGAAGCGAGACGGGTGGATCACCTGAGGTCAGGAGTTCGAGACCACCTGGCCAACATGGTGAAACCCCGTCTCTACCGAAAATACAAAAATTAGCTGGTGTGGTGGCAGATGTCTGCAGTTCCAGCTACTTGGGAGGCTGAGGCAGGAGAATCTCGCTTGAACTCAGGAGGTGAAGATTGTAGTGAGCAGAGATCACGCCACTGCACTCCAGCCTGTATGACAGAGTGAGGCTCCATTTCCAAAAAACGAAAAGATAAAAGATACAATGACTAAATATTCTATGAATATTTAGTGCCTGGCTTTAGAATGTAAAGATTTCTAACAACTCAATTATAAAAGACAACCCGATTAAAAATGGGCAAGGGTCAGGCATGGTGGCTCACGCCTGTAATCCTGGCACCTTGGGAGGCTGAGGCGGGCGGATCACCTGAAGCCAGGAGTTCCAAGACCAGCCTGGCCAACATGGCAAAACCCCATCTCTACTAAAAATACAAAAATTTGGCTGGTGGTGGGCACCTGAGGCATAAGTATCCTCATGGTTGCAGTGAGTCGAGACTGTGCCACTGCACTCCAGCATATAGGGAGGTGGGGCTGGAAAGCTCAGCTTCTTGGGAGGCTAAGGCAGGAGAAGCACTTGAACCCGGGAAACTGGTGGCTGCGAGCCGAGATCTCACCACTGCACTCCAGCCTAGGTGACAGAGCAAGACTCCATCTCAAAAAAAAAAAAAACCCAAACAAACAAAAACAAAGGCAAGCAATGTTTTTGGAGCAAGCAATTTGAATAGATATTCTCTAAAGAAAATATACAAATGGACAATAAGCACATGAAAAGTTTCAAAGCCACAAAGAGATACTACTTCACATTCACTAGGATGGCTATAATCAAAATATACTGCTGGTAGAAATATAAAATGGTATAGGTATGTTGGAAAATGGTCCTGCGGTGTCTCAGATTATGACCAGCAATTCATACTCCTAGGTACAGACCCATGAAAAATGAAAACATTATGTCCACATAAAAACTTAAACATGAATGTTAACAGCAACATTTGTAGTAGCCAGAAACTAGAAACAATTAATGAACGAGTAAATAAAATGAGGTATATTAATATAATGAAATATAATTTGGCAACAAAAAGGAAAAAGTACTGAAACATGCTACAACACGGATAATCCTTGAAAACATTACACCAAATTAAGTCACCCAAAAAGGGCCACATATTCTATGATTCCATTTATATAAAATACCCAGAATAAACAAATCCATAGAAAAAACGTGGACTATAGGTAGCCTAGGGCTGGGAGATTTGGGGTGAAATGTGGAGTGACTGCTAATGCATACAGAGTTCCTTCTGGGGGTGATAGTTACACAACTGTGAATAAACCATTGAGCTGTACACTCTATAAGGCTGCTATTTTTTATTTTTATTTTTTGAGACGGAGTCTCTGTCACCTGGACTGGAGCGTAGAGTGCAGTGGCATGATCTCGGTTCACTGCAGCCTTCGCCTCCTGAGTTCAAGTGATTCTCCTGCCTCAGTCTCCCAGGTAGCTGGGATTACAGGTGCCCACCACCATGCCCGGCTGATTTTTGTATTTTTAGTAAAGACGGGGTTTCACCATGTTGGCCAGGCTGGTCTCCAACTCCTGACCTCAGGTGATCCCCCCTCCTTGGCCTCTCAAATAGCTGGGATTACAGGCGTAAGCAACCACACCTGGCCTATTTTTTATTTTTATAGAGATGGGGTCGCACTATGTTGCCCAGACTGGTCTCCTGGGCTCAGGCAATCTGCCTGCCTCAGCATCCCAAAGTGCTGGGATTATAGAAGTGAGCCACTGTGCCTGGCTGGCTGTTTATTTTTAAAAACTACTTGCATACTCATGCACATACAAACACACTAAAGAATACCTTCAGAAGTATTTCAGCTAAAGAGCCAATCATATGCAGGGCTCCATCTTTTTTTCGAGGGTCAGCATTTGGTTCTGTAAGAATCTGGTAACAAAATCCCATAGTCTTTTGCAGTACCTAGATTAAAAGAGAAAAGTACTGTTATTGAATAGGCCAACAGTCCTTAAAAAACATACTAACAAAATGACTCACATGACTAACATGTAAAACTGAGTGTATAGTTGAATAAATGTTAAATAATACAGCAAAAGTTATCTAAACATTAAATAAGCCTACCTCTTTCCTCTTACTACAGGCTGTAAACAAAAGTGTCTGGGCAGCAGTGGTAGGAGAAATGAAATCTTCAAATACATCTAGAGAACAAGTTTAAAATTAAGACAATAAATATTAATTTCTTCACCAAAGCATTAAAAAAATTGCTTAATCTTTACATATGAAAATGATCCCAGATCCCCTTATAATTTTGCAAAAGCAGAATTCAATGTCTTTTCTGTACAAATTAAATGTTTTTATTTGCTTGTTTGTTTTGAGATGGAGTCTCGTTCTGTCACTCAGGCTGGAGTGCAGTAGGGTGATCTCGGCTCATTGCAACCTCCAACTCCCAGGTTCAAGCAATTCTCCTGCCTCAGCCTCCCAAGTAGCTGGTTTACAGGTGCCTGCCACCATGCCTGGCTAATTTTTGTGTTTTTAGTAGAGATGGGGTTTCACTATATTGGCCAGGCTGGTCTCAAACTCCTGACCTCAAACGATCTTCCCACCTAGGCCTCCCAACATGTTGGGATTTACAGGCCTTAGTCAACGCACCTGGCCTATGCATATTAAATGTTAATCCATTAATTCCTCCTAATAGTTTTTGTTTTTGTTAACTCAGAACTTAGCAGTTTAAATCATACATATGAAACACTACTGATGTTAGAATTTTCACAACAGGGTCACAAAAGTACAAGCTGCGAAAAGCACAGATGACTTGGTAAGAAGGACCAATACTCAACATTATTAGCCAAATTACAATTCTTTAGTTCTGTACAAGGACTTCATGTGACTCCAACTTCCAAGATGTGTTTTCTCATTTCCCACTCATATGATAGCTAACATAAGATCCAAAAGTATAGTTGAGACATTTAGTGTTGAGGTGTAATCTTAAATATCTAACAGTTTTGGCATTCAGTAATAAAAACTTAACAGTACTGAATTTGTGTCTGCTAAAAATAAGATTATCATTATCAAATATCATAATTAATAAATAGCCCCAAAAAGGACTACACAAGGGATCAATTACATTAAAACACCAAAGAAGATACATAATACCCCCTAGGTTGGCTACACACAATCACTGTAATCTTAATTACTGACATTTTTTGTTTCTAAAAATGTGAAAATTCCTCACCAAACTTCATGCGTATATATTCATAAGGGTCTTCTTGCCAAAGTTCTTCATCAGCATCTGTGTAGCACATCAATGGAAAAATAACATCTTGGATAATGCCCTGCAATTTAAAAGTTAAGAAAACAATAGCCATCAATTTTCAAATTTAAACCTTCAAATTTCCTTTAAGTATTAAAACCAAAGTAACACTATATGTATTTTAAAGCTTAATATCAAACGTTAGTAATGCATTTAATGTGTTCTAAGATCAACTATCAAACTTCCCCTCTCTGTAATAATTATAAGATATACATGTACATAGGTCGCAATTAAGTATTCTAAATATATATAATTTAGTCTATAAAATTCTATAGCTCTAAATAAAGCACATAAATTATTCATAGAAATAGCAGGTAAGTCACTTATCCTAGAAACGAATCTGGTGAAATAAATTTCCTTGGCTACTCCAAATTACATGATAAAATATAATCATAGTCCAATAGTAAGAACTTAAATTACAAGTTTGAAGAAAACAGTTTTGGATTTTAAAAGATAAGTTGGATATTCACTAAATAACTCTCATAACTTTATGTCAGAGTGTTTTCTCTCCTTTTTCTGCTATACTCTCAAAACAATCACCAGAAGTAGACTAAGTAACATAACTCAACAAACATGCAATTTTTCAACCTTTATGACAATTGATGTTATTTCTATTATATTTGCTATAAAAACATTTCAGATAAAAATTATTACTTGTATATGGGGCTTCAGATTCTTCCAGGTGAGAGCATGAGAAACTCCTTGATTAATATAATTTAATGTCTGTTGTAAAACTCGAGGAGCCATATATTGCTTCTCCTTGTACTGATACAACACCTTCAATAAAACCTTGGGAAAAAATTTTCGATCAAAAGCAATGTTCAAATAGAAATTTCAACCACTTACAAGCCAGTAAAAACAGTTAACACGTATCTTAATGTCCAGCTCATCATCAAGAAAAACAACTGTATACTTTGAAAAATAATTTAACTCATTTCTGATTAAGAAAAGAGAAAACTATATGCTATCTTCGTTTTTCTGGTGTTTTTGTTGTTGTTGTTAGAGACAGTGTCTCACTACGGTGTCCCGGCTGGTCTCTAACTCCTGGCCTCAAGCGATTCTCCCATCTCAGCCTCCCGAAGTGCTGGGATTACAGGTGTAAGCCACCACACCTAACCCATATGCTACCTACTGAAAAATCACAGTATTGGGAGAAAACCCTATCTTGTTAAAGCCATCTTCTGGGAAAACCTTACCCGAAGCAGTCAACTGCCTATTTAGCATCTGTCAATAGTTCTCACTCTACTTCATGTTTCAGATCATCGATAATGCAAAATGTGGTCCACAACCTCTAGTGGTCCCCAAGACTATTTCAGAGGATCTACTAGTTTAAAGCTACTTTCACAATAATGTTATCTTTTTCTTTTTTTAAAAAACTGTGTTTTGAGTAAATCAGTATTTGCATCAATGGTACAAAACCATGGTGTTAAATGTTCTGTTGCCTTATTTGAATCAAGAGAGTATGATATTAAAATCACTGTATTTTTATTTACTTATTTATTTATTTGAGATGGAGCTTTGCTCTTGTTGCCCAGGCTGGAATGCAATGGCACGATCTCGGCCCACCGCAACCTCTGCCTCCCAGGTTCAAGTGATTCTCCTGCCTCAGCCTCCTGATTATGGGCATGTAATTAGCCATCATGCCTGGCTAATTTTGTATTTTTAGTAGAGACAGGATTTCTCCATGTTGGTCAGGCTGGTCTCGAACTCCTGACCTCAGGTAATCTGCCTTCCACAGCCTCCCAAAGTGCTAAGATAACAGGCGTGAGCCACCACTCCCGGCCAAGTCACTGTATTCTTTACAGCCATATTCTTATAGAACAAGTTTTTCCTAAGTTTTTTTTTTTTTTTTTTTTTTAAAGACAGAGTTTTGCTGTGTCTCCCAGGCTGGAGTGCAGTGGCGTGATCTCAGCCCACTGCAACCTCTGCCTCCTGGGTTCAAGCCATTCTCCTGCCTCAGCCCCCCCAGTAGCTGGGATTACAGGCACACACCACCACACCCAGCTAATTTTTGTATTTTTAGTAGAGACAGTGTTTCACCATGTTGGCCAGGCTGGTCTTGAACTCCTGACCTCATCATCTGCCCGCCTTGGCCACCCAAAGTGCTGGGATTACAGGTGTGAGCTACTGCACCCAGCCAAGAATATATGTAATGACAAGAAAAATTATGATTACTCAATGAGAAGTATACATACAGCCATTCTACTACATACCAAAGTACAATGGTTACAACACTTGGGAGGTTGAGTTGCAAGCTGAAATAGTCTCTTATTCCACGAAACACTACATTATGCTTGAAAGAACAACTGATAGACAATAGTTATTGAGACTATGAATACGGCAGATTTTTCTCAAAAACGAATAAAATGAGTACATCATTTCAAGGAAAATTGCTGACAATATGTTACTGGTGTTAAAATTTGAGGTTTCAAGCAAAAATTAGAATTATGGGCCAGGCGCGGTGGCTCACGCCTGTAATCCCAGCAGTTTGGGAGGCCGAGGCAGGTGTTCACCTGAGGTCAGGAGTTCAAAACCAGCCTGACCAATATGGAGAAAACTCATCTCCACTAAAACTTCAAAATTAGCCGAGTGTGGTGGTGCATGCCTATAATCCCAGCTACTCGGGAGGCTGATGAGGCAGGAGAATCGCTTGAACCCGGGAGGCAGAGGTGGCAGTGAGCCAAGATTGTGCCACTGCACTCCAACCTGGGCAACAAGAGAAAAAGAAAAAAAAAATTATTTCCGTTAACATGTAACAGGCCTGTTATTATTTTTTAAATGAACTGCTTACTCTTATTTTAATTTCTAAATGATAAATATCACTAGGTCTAACTCACATAAATGAGAACTCAATGGTATCGTAAGTAATTTGAACATAAAGAGATCCTGAGACCAAAAATGTTTGAGACCTGGTACAGGGTCCAAACATGCACTCTTTAGAAGTCAAAGAAACTAGAAATAAGCAATATATAAATTAACTTAAAGATACCATGTTTTCACTTAGAAAAACTAAAAACAGACTTACTTGCTGGACACCAACAGCAAATGCCTTCAGAAATACTTCAGCAAATTCATTATACTCCTTGGAAACATTGCCAGGGCTTCCATATCTAAAAGAACATCAAAATGCCCATTGTTTCTTTATAATGCTTTATGCTAGCACTTTAAAGCAAAACCTTAATAAATTAATTTAAATCACCATATATGGATGAGATTACCTTTCAAAAAGTCTTGCTAAAATATGTAAGGCCCACTTCTTGCATTTCCACCATGGTAACTCAGGTCGATCATCTTCTTCAACTTGAAGTGTTTCCTTTAAAGAGACACTTATTTAATGATAGAGATAACACAATATAGGAGGAACAGCATGAGATGAGAACAGATTGACAAAAATGTGAATGCTTCTCTAATGTTGGCCTTTTTTTTTTTTTTCTTTGTGAGACAGAGTCTTGCTCTGTCACCCAGGCTGGAGTGCAGTGGTGCCATTTCAGCTCACTGCAAGCTCTGTCTCCCGGGTTCAAGCCATTCTCCCGCCTCAGCCTCCCAAGTAGCTGGGACTACAGGCATTCCCCCACCACGCCCAACTAATTTTTTGTATTTTTAGTAGAGATGGGACTTCACCGTGTTAGCCAGGATGGTTTCGATCTTCTGACCTCGTGATCTGCCCGCCTCAGCCTCCCAAAGTGCTGGGATTACAGGCGTGAGCCACCACGCCTGGCCTGATGTTGGCCTTTCATAGTAGAAGGTTAGACTTGGAAAAGTATTAACCCTATTTAAATCCAAGAGGCATCCTCACTGCTTCACTAGTTGGTTATAAAAGATGCTTTTTAAAATTCTTCTACAAGCTTAAAACCAAACATTTTAGTCAAGATCTAAACAGTAGGCCGGGCGCGGTGGCTCAAGCCTGTAATCCCAGCACTTTGGGAGGCCCGCGACGACAGGCGGCATCACGAGTCCAGGAATCGCCAGACCATCCTGCGCGCACACCAAATAACCGGGCTCCGTCTCTCACACTAAAAAACAACAAAAATACTAGGCCGGGCGTCCGGTGGCGCCGCTTGTCAGTCCAGCTACTTGGGCAAGGCTCCGAGGCAGGACCAAAGGGGGGGGGGGCTGGCCGAACACCCGCACACCGGGAGGGCGCAGCTTTCAGTCGAGCGCAATCCGCGCACTCGCCGCACTCCAGCTTGGCCGAGGCAGAGCGAGACTTGCTGCCTCAAAAAAAAAAAAAAAAAAAAAAAAGTCTAACCGTATAGTCAAGGCCCATCGACAATTCGTACTTAAAGTCAAAATCAGTATATTTCCTAATTGGCAACAGGCTGGCAACACTCCATTTCGGAATCTAGCTTTCAGTATATAACGTATACAACTGATGCAAAGGTATGTGTACAAGAATACGTAATCCTAATCACCTATTGTGTAAGAAAAAAAATTGCCAAGAACCTTTGCAACCATTCATTAATAATCGGGAGCGTTTCAATTTGCGAACGATCCACTAAAAATTATTACACACATCCAGCGGGGCGGCAGGTGGGCTCAAGCCTGTACATGCCAGCCCTTTTGGGGAGCCGAGACGGGCGATCATCGAGGTCCGGAAGATCAAGACCATCCTGGCTAACACAGGTGAACACCTTGTTCTACCTCAATACAAAAAAATCCACAGCCGGAGCGCGACCGGTGGTGGGTGCCTGTAGTCCACCCAGCGCTACTCAGGAGGCTGGAGGTGGGAGAATGGCATAAACTCGCGCGAGGCCGCCAGCTTGCAGTCGCGAGCCTGCGATCCCCCACCTGCACTCCAGTCCCGGGCGCAGAGCGACGACTCCGTCTCAAAAAAACAAAACACTAAAAAAAAAAAAAGCGCAGGTCTTACCAATCACTGAAAGAAGGAACTGGATCATTATATATTAACCAAAAAAAAAAAAAACATATATATATATATTTTTTGAGACAGAGTCTTGCTCTGTCGCCAGGCTGGAGTGCAGTGGCACAATCTCGGCTCACTGCAAACTCCGCCTCCCTGGTTCAAGTGATTAAAAAAAAAAAAACTCCCCAGTAGCTGGGATGACAGGTGCGCGCCACCACGCCCAGCTAATAAAAAAAAAAAAAGTAGAGACGGGGTTTCACCATGTTGGCCAGGATGGTCTCGATCTCCTAAAAAAAAAAAAAACCTGCCTCAGCCTCCTAAAGTGCTGTGATTACAGGCATGAGCCACTGCGCCCAGCCTATCCATAGCATATTTTTCAAGTAGGATAAGGAAGTGAACATACAGAGCAAGTAAAAAAAAAAAAACATTGCTAGTGAGAGCAATGCTACAGCCACTTTGGAAGCTACTTACAAAAAAAAAAAAAAACCTACCCTATGACCCAATTCCTTTCTTTGATATTTATGCAAGAGTGTGAAAAAAAAAAAAACACAAAAAGAGACGTAAGAATGTTCATAGCTTTACCTTTAATACTGAAAAAAAAAAAAAAACCAGATGGCCATCAACATACATAAATTGTGATATATCTATACAATGGGAAAAAAAAAAAAAATAAAATATAATAAATACCACTACACAACATGAAAGAATATTATAAATAAAAAAAAAAAAAGAAGCCAGGAACAAAAGATTACTTAATAAGTTCTAAAACAGATGAAATCTATTGTGCAGGAAATGAGATGATGGCAGAGATGACTAGAATCAGCCATGAGCAAACATTCAAAAAAAAAAAAAAGATAGGTACATATAATTGTGTTAACTCACTGAATTGTTTATTTATAAAAAAAAAAAAAAATATAAATTATACCACAAAAAGGCACACAATGTGTATATGAGACCTTTAAAAAAAAAAAAAAATATCTATTAAATGTGCACAGAAAAATATACACCAAACTAGTTTCCTAAAAAAAAAAAAAAAATGTTGTTTCTTATGCATTGTTCGTAAATCTTTTTGAAACAAATCTTAAAAAAAAAAAAATTAGCCGGGCGCGGTGGCTCACGCCTGTAATCTCAGCACTTTGGGAGGCCAAGGCGGGTGGATCACGAGGTCAGGAGATCGAGACCATCCTGGCTAACACGGTGAAACCCTGTCTCTACTAAAAATACAAAAAATTAGCCGGGCGTGGTGGCGGGCACCTGTAGTCCCAGCTACATGGGAGGCTGAGGTAGGAGAATGGAGTGAACCCAGGAGGCAGAGCTTGCAGTGAGCTGAGATCCGGCCACTGCACTCCAGCCTGGGCGACAGAGCGAGACTCCGTCTCAAAAAAAAAAGAAAAAAAAAATTAAACTACAAAATAGGACTTTGGTCTCACTTATGCGATTAACAATATTATATTGGATAAATTACATAACCCTCCCATGTCTAAGTTTAAAATAAAAGTCAGAAGGAATTTTGAGGGTTAAATGAGTATATATTAATAACAGTACATAAAACACACTAAGTAGGCTGGGCGTGGTGGCTCACGCCTGTAATCCCAGCACTTTGGGAGGCTGAGGCAGGTGGATCACAAGGTCAGGAGTTCAACACCAGCCTGGCCAAGACGGTGAAACCCTGTCTCCACGAAAAATAAAAAAATTAGCCAGGCATGGTGACGGGCACCTGTAATCCCAGCTACTTGGGAGGCTAAGGCAGGGAATTGGTTGAACCTGGGAGGCAGAGGTTGCAGTGAGTTGAGATCACACCACCACACTCCAGCCTGGGTGACACAGTAAGACTCTGTCTCAAAAAAACAAAACAAAACACAACAAAACAGGACATTCAGTAATCTGTAAATTCCCCTATATCTCTAGAAAACTAGACTATAGGCTGGGCGTGGTGGCTTATGCCTGTAATCACAGCACTTTGGTAGGCGAAGGTGGGCAGATCACCTGAGGTCAGAAGTTTGAGACCAGCCTGGCCAACATGGTGAAACTCCATCTCTCTAAAAATACAAAAATTAGCCTGACATGGTGGCACACATCTGTAGTCCCAGCTACCTGGGAAGCTGAAGCATGAGAATCGCCTGAACCCAGTAGGCAGAGGTTGCAGTGAGCCGAGATTGCACCACTGCACTCCAGCCTGGGCAACAAGAGTGAAACTTCATCTCGGAAAAAAATAAAAAAAAAAGAAAACTAGACTATAAAGAAAAATTGTAGTAATTTTAAAAATTTTGATTATAAAAATAACACAACTGGACAACTCTGAATGTACTAAAAACTACCAAGTTGTACTTTAAAAGAATAAATTTTATGGTATGTGAGTTATTTCTCAATAAAGTTATTATGAGAAAATAACTACAAAGTTTGGCCAATTTGTAAAGCAAGTTCTTCCTCTGTACGTGGGCATCTGACAAATTAACTAGGCTAAGAGCCAGCTATGAGCTCTTAATTTAAGAACTCAGAAGAAACAGAAGATTTAGGATGAAACAAAAGGATAACAGAAGCACTTAACCAATAATATATTTTTAAAAACACCTTTTACAACTCTTTACACTGAGTAAATGTACATATATAATGCATATGTAAACAAATGAAAAGGTACCTCTAATCTAGAGAAAAACACATCACATATTATAAAAGTTCATAAAGAATGTTACAGGAAACACCAGTTAGAGTCTTCAAAAGACCATTAAATATTCGTATGTAGTAATATAAGAGAACATATAGAAACTTACATTAGGTACATCCCTGTTCACAACAGTCTTTAAAATTTCTATCCATTCTGTCAGGTTCTGTTGGTTTATCAGTTCCAGTGGTAGTGTATACTAAATAAAAGTCAAGAATTAATATTTCAAAATCCTTGCTAAAGAAAATCCCACTTCTTTTTACTCTTCACAATGCCTACCAAAAGTATTTCATTCAATCCACATTTCCTACTTTTAGTACACAGGCAAATTCCTTTGCTTGTTATCTATAATGGTAAACAGTGAGTGGGCATCCTTGCCATATTCCCATTTCACTGGGATATCTTATTTTCACCATAAGGTGTGATATTTATTGTAGACTTTTAATGAACAACTTTCATCAAGTTAAGAAAGATTCTATTTTAGGATTCTAACAGTTGTTTATTTTTTGCAAAGCAGACATAGTTATTTAATTTTATGAAATGCTTTATCTGACATCCATAAAGATAGTTATAGGTCTCTATTTTAATGTGATGTAAGGGTTAATTTAAAAATTAATTTCTTACTGTCGATCCACTCTTGTATGCCTGGGATAAATCCTATCTCTCAGTAGGCCAATAAAACAGATAACCAATTTGGGATTTTAGGACATCTATTTTCACAAGTGAGATGGGGCTATATTTTTACAACAGGGTATGCTAGTCTCAAAGAACGAGTTGAGAAACTACTTTGTCCTATTCCCTATGCCCTATGATAGTTTTCAAAAAGACCTATTATTTAATCCAAAAGTTATGATCCTCAGAGTTAGAAAAAATATTGAAAAGACTAGTGTTTATTAAAATTACTTAACAAAAGAATCATGTAAGAGTCCAACAGAACGGCATTAAGGTGCCCTTAGATTCATAGTGGCAGATAATTGAATGTCTTTAAAGATCTAGCAAAGACATACAAAATCCAACCAAAGAATAGAGTTAGGCAAGTACAATCTTAGTGGAGGTGAAGTCATAGATCTTTCTTCCTTTTTTTTAAGAGACCAGGTCTCGCTCTGTGAGGATGGAGTGCAGCCTTGAACTCCTGGCTTCAAGCAATCCTCCCACCTCAGCCTCCAGAATAACTGGGATTACAGGCTTATAGGTGCAAGCCACTGTGCCTGGCTCTGATCTATTTAAATGAGAGTTTTTAACGTAATGGTATGACTTGAGATAAACCCTTCTATGGTACACGGTACAACAAAAAGAACCAGAATTTTCCTGGTTTTTAAAAATCTGTTTTACAAGTAATTACATTTCACTGCAAATACTGACCCAACCATTTCTTTAGTGGGTATCTTTTATCCTAGAAAAATTTAGAACAACATACAGAAATAATAAAAGCCATTACTGTATACCAGTAAAGCCCACTGATTTAGTATTTTTGTGACAAGTTTAGGAATAGGTTTTGTATTGAGACAATCTATGTATATTTTGCATGTTAAGTATGTGTTAGACTTCAACTGTAATCAAGTAACTGGTTTTCAGATTCATTAACTTTTTTTTTTTTGAGACGGGTTTTTGTTCTTGTTGCCCATGCTGGAGTGCAGCGGCATGATCTTGGCTCACCGCAACCTCCACCTCGCACGTTCAAGCTTTTCTCCTGCCTCAGCTTCCCGAGTAGCCGAGATTACAGGCATGCACCACCACACCCAGCTAATTTTTTTGTGTTTTTAGTAGAGACGGGGTTTCTCCATGTTGGGTCAGGCTGGTCTCGAACTCCCCTCCTCAGGTGATCCGCCCACCTCGGCCTCCCAAAGTGCTGGGATTACAGGTGTGAGCCACCGCGGCTGGCCCAGATTCATTGATTCTTAAGGTGAAAGACAGTTTCTAAACTGACTAATTTGGTTGCAGTGGATGGTTTAAGAGAATTAGACATTGCCCATTTGCAATTTAAGATTTATCAGGGGCCTGGCACGGTGGCTCATGCCTGTAATCCCAGTACCCTGGGAGGCCAAGGCAGGCGATCATGAGGTCAGGAGTTCGAGACCAGCCTGACCAACATGGTGAAACCCTGTCTCCACTAAAAATACAAAAATTGGCCAGGCATGGTGGCACGTGCCTGTAACCCCAGCTACTCAGGAGGCTGAGGCAGGAGTATTGCTTGAATCTGGGAGGAGGAGGTTGCAGTGAGCCGAGATCACACCACTGCACTCCAGCCTGGGCGACAGAGCGAGACAGTCTCAAAAAAAAAAAAAAAAAGATTCATTAGGGTTGTTTATGTATTTGGGGAGGAAGTATGTTTGTTTAGACTTATAATTTTGGCAATTTATGTTTTGCTAGAAAACCGTCCACTTAATGTAGATTTTAAAATTAACTATTATTCAGATGCTGAAATTCTTTGTTAATTCTTAATGTGGTAAATGACAGACTAACTTTTTATATATAAAAACTGCTTCATAGATATTACCTGAACAAGAGCATAGAAGATCTTGAATATTTGTTTCTGGATGAGGACAGACTGATCAGACTGGTCAGAAAGAAGCTGGATAAAACGATCCTTTAGAACTGGCAGAAAATGCTGCATTGCTGCTACCAATGGACTCCGCTCCTCTGGTTTTTTATACCTTTGAGTAGGAATACAAACTAATTCTGTAAGAATTTATTTCCACAATTTTATATATATTTAAACTATGCATTTATTTCCACAAATATTATCAAATACTTCCTAACCAATTTAGAAAAAGAAAAATATCTAGAACAAAACCATAAAAAGAAAGCATCTTGAATAAAACCTTAAGTAAAGATTATCCAGTATTTTCTGAATATGTATTATGAGGTCAATAATCTTCAAGGCGCACATGAGTATCCTCACTTTTATAGTTGAGGAAACTGAGGCACAGATGTTAACTATCTTTCTCAGTATTACATAGTTAGGCATGAACCTAGGTAACTGGAATAGGTTATTGACCTCATAATAATAAATGTTCAGAAAATACTAGATAATCTTTACTCAAGGTTTTATTCAAGATGCTTTCTTTTTACGGTTTTGTTCTAGATATTTTTCTTTTTCTAAATTGGTTAGGAAGTATTCGATTATATTTGTGTAAATAGTAGCAGCTGATAAATAAAACTGATTATATTTACCATCCGTAAGTAATTTACATACCAACAGCATTAAGGCAGAAGTGGTATACATAAAGCAGAAAATACTTTATTTCTAAAAGCATCATAAACCAGAAGTTCTTCCATTAACCCAAAGGGCAACAAAATGTGACCAACGGGCTATCAATTATGAGCCAAGATCGTGCCACTGCACTACAGCCTGGGTGACAGAGAGACTTGATCTCAAAAAATATATATATTGTTAAAAAGCCTGTTGAGGGTTGGGCACGGTGGCTCACGCCTCTAATCCTAGCATTTTGGGAGGCCGAGGCGGGCAGATCATGAGGTCAGGAGATCAAGACCATCCTGGCCAACACAGTGAAAACTCGTCTCTACTAAAACACAAAAAATTGGCCGGGCGTGGTGGTGGGCACCTGTAGTCCCAGCTACTCGGGAGGCTGAGGCAGGAGAATGGCACGAACCCAGGAGGCGGAGCTTGCAGGGAGCCACTGCACTCCAGGCTGGGCAACAGAAAGAGACTCCGTCTCAAAAAACAAAAAACAAAAAACCAAACAATCAAATTTATAACTATACAAAAGCAATTCCAGTATCCTCTTTTTTTTATTTTTTATTTTTGGAGAAAATGCCTCACTGTCACCCAGGCTGGAGTGCAGTGGTGATCATGGCTCACTGAAGCCTCAACCTTCCAGGTTCAAGCTATCCTCCCACCTTAGCCTCTTGAGCAGCTGGGACTACAGGCATGTGCCACCACCACACCCGGCTGATTACTTTCTTTTTTTTTTTTCTGCAGAGAAAGGGATAGAAATGGGTTCCACTATGTTGCCCAAACCGGTCTCAAACTCCCGGGCTCAAGTGATTTGCCTGCCTCAGCTTCCCAAAGTGTTGGGATTACAGGATGAGCCACTGCTCCCAGCCCCAGCTTCCATTATTAAGGAGTCAATAGGCAGACTAAATTTGTAAAATACAGATTACTGATTATAGAAATCATTATTCTAAGAGCCACAGCTTATCTTTCTGGAATAGATACTATCAAAACAGCTTTAACTTGGTTTTCCATAGCACATCCCAGTTGTATTTATTGGTACCCCTCTTCCTTAAGAGAGAAAATATAAAGAATTGAGTGAGTACATTTTAAAATGATAATGGAAGACTCTTTTTAAAAGCTAGATTTTTTTTCCTACCAGTTGAAATGAGTAACAAAGTAAATCACCAGGAATAAAAAATACAAAAAGGAATGTTCACATTAACAATGACTGCTAAAGCTATTAACACAATCTACTGACAAATTATTTCAAATATTACTTTAATGTGCTAAGAAATTATACCTAGCATATATTTTAAAAGTTTATCTATACCTTCGAGTTGATAAAATAACAATTCACGAAAGAAAGCCATTTGTACTCTCCAATCTGATTATACAAACTACAAGTATACACAAAATTCCCTTTAAACACTAACTAATATGATGCAGCTCTCTCTATTTATGCATCACAGGTCCATCACCCACCCTAAGAGACTTTAAATACTTGTTCTGCATCAGATATTCTCTCCTACCTCCCTCAATACCCTGAATAGTGGACTGGGAGTTGAGTGGTACTAGTTGTCAATCTAAGCTAATGAGTAAAAAATTACGGTACCAAACTTATTACTACCCTGTAAGACCTGAACATTCCTGAAAGTATGAAAATATGACACTAATAAAATTCTACTACCACAAGGCTGTGATGTGTCAAACTGGAGAACCATACTCACAGAAAATCCTTAAATACTAGTCTTATCACTATTCTGTTAAAAAAAATTTTTCAGTGGTTCTTAGTATCTAAAAGATCACATCCAAATTTCCCATTCTGGCACTCAAAACCCTCTTTAACATGGTCCCAATTTACCAGTCCAAAATTATTCCCAACCTCTCACTGGGAATTATCAATACCATTAAGCAGTCTCCTCACTACCCACTAAAGACAGGTTCTCACATTTCCGTCTCTTTCTTTGTTCATACCACTCCATATGGTGTGACACGCCTTCCTCTTCATGTTCTTTGTGTTCCTTCAACTGACAAGCATTTCCTGAGATCTATGCTCCTGAGGACCACCACAAATTCCAATTTTTCCATAAATTTTCTTAGAACTGCTTCAGTCCACACAGATCCCTTGTGAACACCTTGTGCTTCACAACGAAACACTGGCTGAAAATGAACTGAATTCCAATGATGTAGCAGCCTCCTGTATCTCCCATTTAAAAATCCCTGTCATATTCCCTCCTGCTAAGATTATGGGACAGGACGGACTTGAACCTCCTCAATGATATTGACAGCTTATTGCTTTTATTTTCTCCAATTTTAGTCACTCAGACTAAACTGTAACAGAACTGTAACAGCTGGAACATTCCTTAGCAGGAAGATGGGTATCTGGTGGGAACACAAGAAAACACCAGTACCAATGCTGTAAATGGTATTGTTTCTCTCCTGCTCAGAGAACAAAAGCAGCAGTTCATCAGCCACTTTGAGATGGGACCCAAAGAGGGTATCGGAGGCTAACTATAAGTCCCAGAATTAGAGGGCTCACAATGGCATCTGTGTAGCTGTTAGGACTGGCAATAAAGTCACCATCATGGTATAAAACTCTTCCTTATGCCTTCCTCATAATATCCCATCAAACCTTTTCAAGTGCCTATCAACTACAGACTTAAAAAACTCCTTCAACATGTGGCCTACCACTCTCAGTGCTATACTTCAACTTTCCAGGTTAGATCTTTTTTTCCTGATCCCTAAAACAAGATCTAAAATAATCACTTGGCCTAAAATCTTTTTTTCCTAATACTAATGACATATATGAACTATAATCTGCTTAAATATGCCAACAATGAAATAGGTGAGTGTGAATCCCCCAAAACACACTGATTAAAGAAGATCACATGAAATTCCAATGAATTCTCAAAGAATCAGAGGGAGGTTCCTAAACTGAGATAAAAACTCAAAGAAAAAAAGCCACAAGTAATAAAAAGCTTTAATCCTCAATGTATTCTGATCACCTTCACATTTTAGAAAACTTATCGGAAGGACTTTTATCAGCACGTATTGAGGAGCCCAGCTTTAGAGATAACTTAGTTTTTGAATAGGTAAAGAGACAACGACTAAGAAAAAAGGGCACAAGGAGTTTCTTAATAGAATAAAGAAACTGCAGAGTTAGAATGCTACTTCAAAAAGAAAAGAATAAATTGAAATTACCATATAATTCACTAATTTTATTATCTATAATTTTACATGTTCAAACTGGCTTAAATTTTCCCAACTTTTCCTACTTCTCAAAGCTCTACAGGAATTGAAAGAAACACTTACTCATAATTTTTCACAAGCTGATAAAGGCAAAGAAGAATTCCTAGCCAACAAGCACTGTTATCGGACTGAAGATAAAAGCCAATTTTGTCCACAATGGCAGTCCAGCGGCTTGGATAATCATGTTTGATGATGTGATGAATGCATGTAGTAAGCTGTACCCTGAAAGCCAAAAATAAACAGTAAGGAAAAAATCGTAACTAGGTAAGATTTTGCTAACTCATAGAAAGGAAAATAGAGTTTAGCCAAAATCTGATTTTAAAATAACCCATGTGATGTTAGATGTACACAGAATATATTTGATTCAGAATAAGTCACTGAGCAAAACGAAACCCAACAAATGTTACAAATACAGGTGTTTTATTTTTCACTCCTATCATCAATAAACAAGTTTCATTTAAGAACATCAATTAGGCTGGGTGTGCTGGCTCACGCCTGTAATCCCAGCACTTTGGGAGGCCCAGGCGGCAGATTACAAGGTCAAGGGATCAAGACCATCCTGGCCAACATGGTGAAACTCCATCTCTACCAAAAACACAAAAACTAGCTGGGCCTGGTGGTGCACGCCTGTAATCCCACTTACTCAGGGGGCTGAGGTCACTCTGCCCGGCCCACAAGTTTTATATGAGGTTTTTGGTTTCATCAATGTGAAATCAAACCACAGTAAGAAAATAAATTACAGGCCAGGCATGGTGGCTCACATCTCTAATCCCAGCACTTTGGGAGGCCTAGGCAGGTGGATCATTTGAAGTCAGGAGTTCCAGACCAGCATGGCCAACATGGTAAAACCTTGTGTCTACTAAAAATACAAAAATTAGCCAGGGATGCTGGTGCACGCCTGTAATTCCAGCTACTCGGGAGACTGAGGCAGGAGGATTGCTTAATCCCGGGAGACAGAGGTTGCAGTGAGCCAAGATTTCGCTACCTCACTCCAGCCTGGGCGACAGAGCAAGATTCAATCTCAAAAAAAAAAAAGCTAAGGCATTCTCCTGTAATAGCATTTGTTGCGTAAGTTTTCTGCAACAAAAAAAAACAGGGTTATATGTTCTGAAAAGACCTCAAAAGCCCCCCAGAAAAACAAAACACAGGCCGGGTGCGGTGGCTCACTCCTGTAATGCCAGCACTTTGTGAGGCCAAGGCAGTTGGATCATGAGGTCAGGAGATCGAGACCATCCTTGGCAACATGGTGAAACCCCGTCTCTACTAAAAATACAAAAATTAGCTGGGCGTAGTGCTGTGTGCCTGTAATCCCAGCTACTCGGGGAGCTGAGAGGCAGGAAAATCGGTTGAACCCAGGAGGCAGAGGTTACAGTGAGCAAGGATCGCACCACTGCACTCCAGCCTGGCCACAGAGAGGGAGTCCATTTCAAAAAAACAAAAACAAACAAAAAACAAAAAACCCTGAAAGTTACATCCCTGCAGAAATGGGTAAATTTTAAAAACACATACCTGATGAGCTCAGGAGAATGGATAATGGCTTCTACAATATTTTCTCGAATACAATGGCGATCTTCTTCTGGAATAGTATAAGGGGATATATCCCCTGGTGCTGTTTCTCGATCAGGCCAATACTGTGTTATCATATTTTTCAAATAGATAACACCTAAAATACAGATCAGTTTGACAAAAGAATGTTTACTGTGAAAGTACTGTGAAAATTCCTTAAATGTTCATACCTCAAGTATTTCTTTCAGACCACTGTTTGTAAAGCTATGCTTTCATTAACAAAATACTACATTAAATTATTTTTAAAGTTGATAATGCACAAATTGAACACTCAGTTACAGCAATCATGCACAAGGTTATTACTAATCACATAGTGTAAGAAAACTCTGCAAATAACCCCAGAGAAAACTGGTTTTTTTTAACGTCACAACACTTTTTACCCTGTTTTCTATAGGAGAGTTAAATTAAATCAAATCAGTTTTCTAAATGAAGCCTCTCAAGACAAAACCATCATACACACCCCAACATAGCTTCTACAACTCATCACACAAAGGTAATAAAAAAAACAATTCTTATCACAGAAAAATCACAGCATACAAAGGTTCTTAATCTATAAATTTAAGTATTTCAATCCCATACCACTTCAAATTCAAATTATGTTATGGGAGAATTTACTGTGTTCAGAAATTACAGATTACTATTTTTCCGTCAGTTATCATACTGCTACCTTCGCACATTGCTATTTGACAAGTTAACAAACTGATGAAGTGGCAAAATCTAGGTTGCTAGCAATGTTTTTTACTCAGCACTTTCAGAGAGAGGGGGACAACAGAATCACAAATGTGTAAGATGTACTGTAAAGGGAAACTGTCCAAAATTAATTCTTAAATTCTGCAAAACACTGGATTGTCTCTAATTAGCAATTCTTATCTCGAGTCCTGTACTTTTTTTTTTTTTTTGGCGACAAGAGTCTCACTCTGCTGCCCAGGCTGGAGTGCAGTGGCACCATCTGGGCTCACTGCAAGCTCCACCTCCCTGGGTCACGCCATTCTCCTGCCTCAGCCTCTGGAGAGCCTCAGGCGCCCACCACCACACCCGGCTAATTTTTTGTATTTTTTTAGTAGAGCCGGGGTTTCACCATGTTAGTCAGGATGGTCTCGATCTCCTGACCTCGTGATCCGCCTGCCTCGGCCTCCCAAAGTGCTGGGATTACAGGCGTGAGCCACCGTGCCCGGCCTCGAGTCCTGTACTTATTTGAACAAGGATAACCGACAGAACTGGGATTTTTATATTCTAGTTTGCTTTAATTTAGGAATTAAATATTCGATCTTATAGTATTTCAAATAGATTAAGACTATATATTAAAATACCCCTCAACAAGGTTTTTTTTTTTTTTTTTTTGAGACAGGAGTCTCGCTCTGTGGCCCAGGCTGGAGTGCAGTGGCGGGGGATCTTCAGCTCACTGCAAGCTCCGCCTCCCGGGTTTATGCCATTCCCCTGCCCTCAGCCTCCCGAGTAGCTGGGACTACAGGGCCCACCACCTCGCCCGGGCTAGTTTTTTGTATTTTTTTAGTAGAGACGGGTTTCACCATGTTAGCCAGGAATGGTATCGATCTCCTGACCTCGTGATCCGCCCCATCTCGGCCTCCCAAAGTGCTGGGATTACAGGCTTGACCACTGCGCCCCCTTCAAGCAAGGTATTTTAGCAGATGGAGTCTCGCTCTGTCGCCAAGGCTGGGATGTGCAGTAGGTGCGATTCTTGGGGTT